AGCAGGGACCATCCAACACTACATCTACAGCAGTATGCCAGATCACTCGGTGCATGGCCCGTGGCCTCCCGTACCCTTATGGGCGCCCAAGTTCACCGTCGAGAACTACGTCCGACAACTAGGACTGCCTGCAACCTTTGTGTATGCAGGAATTTACAACAACAACTTCACAAGTCTACCATACCCTCTCTTTCAGATGGAGCTCATGCCGGACGGGAGCTTTGAATGGCATGCGCCATTCGACCCGGACACTCCATTGCCTTGGTTAGACGCCGAACACGACGTGGGGCCCGCGCTGCTTCAGATTTTCAAGGACGGGCCCAAGAAGTGGCATGGCCATCGGTAGGTTACCCGAGAGAATACACCAGTCATGGGAGACAGTTGCTGATGGTTCTTTGTCGCACAGGATCGCCCTTACATTCGAGACCTTATCCCCCAACCAGGTGTGCGCAGCTTTCTCGCGCGCTTTGAATCGTCCATGTCGTTACGTTCATGTCCCCAAGGTTGAAATCAAAGTCAACATTCCTGCCGGATACAGGGAACAGCTCGAAGCCATCGAGGTGGTCTTTGGGCAGTACAACGCGCCTTATTTCCCTCAACCCGAGTTCTCCCGTCCTGCAGCCGGTTCGCCCAAGGGGCTGGGGCCTGCCAATGGTAAAGGCGCCGGGGCAGGAATGATGCAGGGGCCCGGAGGGGTTGTCTCCCTTCGAGTCACCGACGAGGCTCGGCACCTGTGGCAGGGCTGGAGAGACATGGAGGAATATGCGCGAGAAGTGTTCCCAGTAGAAGAGGAAGCCAACGGGCTGGACTGGATGTTGTGATACAAAGCGCAACCTGAGTCATTGCTCTAATTCTCCATACGTGCAGACATTGTCGCATTGGAAGATCATTGGGCAGTTGGGAACACCGTCGGGGTGCCTGTGAGAGCTCATCCCTGTCATCAGCTAATAGGAAAAATATATACCCCGAGGCGACTGTATGAGACCCGATTGGCTCGATACGGAGGTTGCATCGTCTATTGCCGCTAAACGACGCTGTGCCCCGTCCTTATCTCTCTCTCTCCTTCTCACCTCCTCTTAATCATCATCGTCGCCTTTTACCCGCTTTCACGATTTATTTTCAACCGCATTGCTGGCGAACGGGTTTTCATCTATTTCTTGGAGACTCTCATAACATGAGCCATGCACACAGTAATGCAGCGTTGCGCCCAGCTTATAAGCGTGCTGAGAGCCCTCACTGACTGTGTGCTTGGATGCAAATGGATGTCACGAACTCTCTTTCTCTATTTAATGTTCTTCCCCTGCGCTATGACCGACTCATGAAAAGTCGACCGCAGATATGGTTGCGGTTACGATCTGCCACAAAAAGTTCTTGTCCTTCTATTAAGTACTATATTCCCCTCTGGAGTTTGGTAACCAAAATCTCATCTTGGTGGCTATTGTGGCTCTTCAGTTGATTGTACTCTTCATTCTCAGTCAACCTTTGACTTATTCTCACTTTGGCCTCAGATAGCTCACGGCTGAATCTTTCCCTTCAATCTAAACTTCAAATACTTCCTCCATGCATTTACATCACGAACAGTAGAATACCATAACCCGGAGGCCTAGCCTGCCCCAGTTCAAGACGACTTAGCCCACGGCGCATTTCCCCGCAAGATCTAGATCAAGTAAGCAAGGTGCTTATCTGTAGCGTCACTGTAACGTAGTCAAGATAAGCGAAAAAGCAACGCCCGTCTAAGATCCATGAGTGATAGTCTAGTCAGGTACAGTGTTGCCTCATTTCTTTTTTCAATGTCGATCATTGCGTGCGGTGTGGCGTTTAGTAATAATAATCTCGAGTTAAGTACAGGTCTATCTCCCTGTTCATGGGATGAGACACCTTGGACGTTGTGTTTGTATAGTACTTCTCTAGTTTGTACAAGTGATGGGTGAGTCGACTAGACAGGAGTTAGTACGACGAGTCTTCTTGTTTTTGGACTTGTATTTTGGGTAGTCTGATGAGTGCTATGGTTGAGTCTTGTTGCTATTGCTCAAAGCAGAGTAAGTCTAGATGAATCTCAGGCAGACCGACTCTCGTGCAGATGGGATGTGTTCCTGTGTGTGTACCAGGGCATTATGTTGATGTCCAGCTGAATCCACTTGGACTCGATCTTCGGGATTAGAAGAGAGATAGAGAGGTATACAGAGTAGTATGACTTGGATAACGTAACATTCCTCACATTCTTCTCATCTAAATATGAGGTAGCCATGAGTACCTCTGATTGGCTCTGTCCCTTAGTCAGGAACAGCTCCAGTGGTGACATCACCTGACCCTAAAGCGGCCGTCCGCCGAGTCGAGGACGGGACAGGAATTATTGCGATTGCCCGTCTGCTCGGCGTTACCTTACCTTAGCAGAAATTTTTTTACCCCTTCTTCTCCAAATTTTTACTTATCCCATCCTCAACTGATTCCTCACCTGCTTGATCTTCATAATCTGCTCAATTGATTGCTTTATACCCCTATACCCCATCTCGCTCACAGTTCTCCTTCATCACCCCTTTTCTCCTAGCTTATCGCTCCCCATCCTTATCGGTCATCATGGCTGCCGAAAACGGTCAGAAGTCGCTCTCTGAGCGCGTTGAGATGCCTGAGATCCCGATGGAAGTTGCGCGGGAGTTTGCGCTCCTGGAGCAGAGATTTATCCGCGCTGAGACCGAGCGCTGTAAGTTGCCCTCGTCGTTCTTCTTGCCCTGGGGTGTTACTCGTCCACCTCATATGAGAACATGAATCCTGACGCGTTTAGTGCGCCGATCCACCGTTGAGAACCGCCCTCTGTGGGAGAAGCGTAGCGAAATCATCTCCAAGGTCCAGGACGACTTCTGGGTTCGTGTCCTCTCCCACGCCCCCGCCGAGATCGACGAATACATCCAGCACTCCGACGCCGCTGTTCTGGGCTCTGCCCTGAAGGATCTCACTGTCGAGAGATTCGAGGTCGACGAGAAGGGCAATGGCGAACCCCGAAGCCTTCGTTTCACCTTTGTGTTCCGCACCGGCGAGGAGAACCCCTTCTTCGAAAACGAAAAGCTGGTCAAGGAGTTCTACTGGCGCAAGAAGATCACCAAGACTCCCAAGGGCAAGCGCAGGACATGGGAAGGTCTCGTCTCTGAGCCAGTCCGCATCAACTGGAAGGAAGGCATGGATTTGACCAAGGGACTGCTCGATGCTGCCTGCGATCTGGCCGAGGCCGAGAAGAAGGGTGGCGACCGCAAGAAGCTCCCCGAGTTTGAAAAGCTCGCCAAGAAGATGGAGGAGCTCGAGGCCGCTGCCATGGAAGATAACGAGGAGGACGAGGAAGACTTCCCCACTCCTGCCGGAACCAGCTTCTTCGGGTTCTTTGGTTATCGCGGCAATGTTGTCTCCGCCGAAGAGTCCAAGGAAGCCAATAAGGAGGATGATGAGCGATTCGAGAGGGCCCTTAAGGGAGAGAAATTCGACGATGAGGAGGATGACGATGACGAGGAGGACGACGAGGAAGACTCCTTCGATGAGATCGAGATCTTCCCTGACGGCGAGGATCTTGCGATCGCTCTCGCTGAGGACCTGTGGCCCAACGCTCACAAGTATTATGGTAAGGCGCTCCGCTGCAAAGATGATGCGATCGTGAAACTGACTCGATTTCAGGACAATCCTTTGAGATTGGGGATGATTACTCCGAATTCGACGAAGATGAACTCGAAGAGGAGGAGGAGGAGGAGGAAGACAACTCTCGGCCCCGCAAGAAGGCCAAGGTTTAAATCCGTCGTCCAGCTTTGATTCTTGAAGTAAAAATGGCATTTCGTTACTTTCGTGCCCATGGGTGGATATCTGATCTCTAATCACAATGCGATTACCAAAATTAGTAGTAGCACCAGGACGAAGATGAGAGCCGCGATGCAGAATGAAGACATTGTATCTAATGAACCAAAAATGATTAGTTGGCTGCTTTTGACTACGTTCTGCGGGACATCGCTTGACGAACAGATCGAGTACACACTTACCTTCGTTCTTTCGCACGATGTGCTTTATCCGTGACATCCCGTTGCTCAACTTGCCCCCAACCCTATCAGCCAATGTATCCACCTCGTCGATCATGACTGCCTGCTCTTCCAGCTCTCTCCCCATATCATCTGCCTGTTGTCGTAGGTTGCCCACAGTCCGAAATACCCCGTCCAGCTGTTCATCTTGTTCATGCATCAGCTCCATCTGCCGCTGCTGCTCAAGAGAAGCGTAGTAATCATCCCCCCGATCATCCGCAGAGGGTGACAAGACATTATCAAAGTCGGCCGGATTGGGCAGTCCCGACGCAGAACCTGTAGCTCCCCGGGTACCGCCAGCTGTGTCGGCAGTTGTGACGACCCTCTGCAACTCCTCTCTCATCTTCTCGACCTCATCTCCGACCTCATCCACTAACTTTCGTCGGCGTGCGACTTCCTCAATTTCGAGGCCATACCGGTACGGGTCTTGCTCGATTGCGCGGACACTCTCGACGAGATCATCCAGATCCGCCGTTAGATCTGTCAGCGTAGCCTCGAGCTCTGAGCGGGCTTGTTGGAGTTCTGGATTTGATGGTGATTTGGCGAGAGATCTGATACGGAGGTATGAGGAGAAAAGGGGCCTGCTGGATTGCAGCGTCGACAGGACGTCTCTATAGTCGGCGAATTGTTAGATGCCGAGTCCCCTAAAGCGGGCAAGGTGGTAAGGCTTACGCTTGTACTTGAAGGAAAGGGTCTGCACTATCCATATTGCAAATATAGGTATATGGTAAAGGCACAAATAAAGTCTAAGTAGAGCAATGTAGGCCGCTTGCTAGTTCAAAAGATATTATTTGACGTCGTGTTTAGATGAGCTTGAGTTATTGACACCAGTCCAGATAGCTGGATACGGTTGGTTCGGCGGTAAGTCGGACATCTTCACGTGACATCTCTCCTCCAATTGCCATCGACTCGCAGCGAGATAACTAGGTAGTATCTGTGACCAACGTGTCAGAATGTATTCAAGTAACCCATGGTAAAAGCATGATGGAGGCCAATATGTCTTTGACTCCACATCTCCTTTAGATACTTCTCCGCTGCTCGGTTGAATTCTCGCCCCCGAGCGTCAATCAATGCCGGCTTCACGCTCCAGCTCCGGACGCGGCGTCTACAGTCGCAATCGCGACATCGCAGCTCCAGGTCGTTCTTCCACTCCTCCCAGTAACTGTCCAAGGGATCCGCAAAGCGACACTCTCTGACGTCAGCATCACCAGTCTTGTCATCCAGATGACAACATTCGTCTTGAGGACTTAGAAAAAGCTTCGCTAACTTTCTGGGTGATTGCTTCAGAATGAACCAAGAGATCAAGCTGTATTCGTTCTTTGCATCGCGGTACCAATCCTTCGGGCCGTGTCCAAGAAGCATGCGCTCCATGAGCTCCCGCAGCATTCGTAGAGCAGTGTGAAAATCAACTTCATTCTGTTCGTCAAGATAGCTCCTCAAGCGAAGCCTTTTTCTGCCGATCTCCGCTTCCACATGTCCCCATTCCAACACTGTGTAGATATGGTCGAAATTCTTATCAGAAGTCATCGATTGGTTCATATGCTCTAGGAGGTCGTCGTACAAGTCCGATGCCCAAGTCAGTACTAGACGCCGCCCAGGACCATGGATAGCCGATTTTTCCCCATCTTCCACTTGCGGCATCTCTGTATCATGGGACGCATCCGCAAAGTGAAACAGCACGTGTATTCCCCGTTCCAGTGTTTGTGCGAGTTTCAATTCAGCATTGTAATCCATCTCAGGATTTCCGTTATCAATGTATGGGCCCCATACAGAGGGAATGATACGCCGGGCTAATTGACTTGCAGTATGTTGACGGTAAATGAATCTTGGGAGTGTGTACACTGTGACAGGTCGCTGACCGCCTGTCTGCGAATTCAGTGTGATAAGAGGAGCAAAGGCAATGATATTGTGCAGGCGCATGAACCAGCGGCAGATATGCGGCTCGAGTGATCCAATCGTCTCATATGTCGATTTGTTGACAAGGCGGAGGTTTAAGACCGCGCTTATGTCTCCGTTTATGATGATTTGGAATAATACATCGGCGACACGGCCGAATAACACCTTTGTTGTGAGCATTTCCGCATCCGCATTCTGCTGCATGTTTGCAAGATTAGCACAATGCTTTAGTTTTCTCAATCCCAAGGCAAGAGAAGAGACTACAAAGTCATATCTTAGCTTGACACTGAAGTCCCCTTATGTAGGTGCCCAAGATCTAACATGGTTGTTCAAGATTTGCAATTGTATCCACTGTGGCCAAGCACATTGGCCCTCCTTGCAGCAAGGGGATATTGAGTTGATGTGTACAGTATATTTGGGCAAATGGTCATGAACGGTGTGACGCGTTGAGTTACTTGAGTATCGTCTTGGCTGTTATGTGTCTGTAGGAAGGATTGGGTATGTTATGCGGGTCGTCAGACGATCACAGCTTGACTGGTCAACTTTCAAAGTGAGAACTTAAAATCAAAGCTGACCCTTACCCGCACTTTTGCAGACAGTAGGCCTTTCCCGTGGGGAAACTCAGTTCTCTTCAGAGAAGCGCATCTGGGCCAGGCCACACGCCATGACAACGAACAGATCCTCGTAACGGGATCCATCAATGCCACGGCTCCCTTGCAATAACACACGGAGCAGAGGGAACATCGAGACTGAAAGCTAAAGTGCTAGCACTTCCAATATGATCAACATACAGAGTAGGATCAACAGTTTGACAACAATTATCGCCTGACAGACTCAGTAGTACACCAATTAGTTGTCAAAGTGGCTTGGCGGGAACAAGCCCCGGAGCAGGCGCTACTGTGAGTGAGAAGGGGATACTTAGGGTACGGAGTACGTTGGATTCTCAGCTTTGTAAAAGACATTATGATAATGAGACCGATGGCAAACTGGCTTGGAAGATATCGGAGTCAGCTGTCTGCTGGTGGACGAACTATCTCCATAGTGCCGATTAAACTTCTCTCGGCCTAAACCCAATCGGTGATTTCCCCTCAGGCAGAAAATTTCTGGAAAAGTTGCAAATGTTCCCCGCAATTTCTCCATCTCCAAATCATCAAGTCAAAAAAGAAGGCTGCAAACTCAATCGGAGTTAGTTGGCGGTTCGTGAGAGCTATGCGACATCCATAGCGATCTGCATCCGACTTCTATTTCCCTATTCAGCGCACGCATGTCGCGCCCACGACCGCTCCCACTCCCCGAGGAGTGGAGTAATCCTGACACTTACGTTGACGCCCTCCTGTCCTTTGCGACCTCATCTGAGCTATTCATCCATGTGTGCGGGGGTGTACATATATTGGACTTTCTGACTCGCGAACCCGACTTGTACAATTCACTTCTCCCACTGCATTGGCGGACATTCTTCGAGAAGCACGAAATTCAAGATATACTAGACCTGTTGTTGAGAGAAGATATACCGCTGCTGTTGCAGCAGAGTCGCAAGTTTGCTGAAAGTGAAACGAGTCAGGATGCAGATGCTCGTTGGAGAGGGCAGCCTCTCCCTCCAGCCGACCTCCTGGAATACATTCATCAGATCCGTCGTCTCAGTCTGGGAAGAGATTTCACATCAAGACAGCCTGGCAAGGTGTCGCTACCTCACCATCTTGCGGTGGGAATGAATCAAAAGAAATATCACGAGGTTGCGCACTTTTCCAAATACGTTAACGATCTATGTGACACCGTTGCCGAAGAAAGGGGCGAGGATATATCGCACATCGTTGACTTCGGATCAGGCCAGAACTACCTTGGACGGACGCTGGCAAGCCCTCCTTACAACAGGCATATAATTGCAATCGAGCGCAAACACCAGTTTATCAGTGGCGCGAAGGGCATGGATATTCATGCAAAACTGGCGAAGAAGCAGAAGAGAATCGTCTACAAGACCAATGGCAGGAGGAACCGCAAGGGCTTGGAGGATGATCAGGATACGACGCCATCCACTCCTGAGGTGGAGGTAGTTGAAAACGTAGCTAATGATGCTTCCACCGAGCCTGGCGCTGATGATGGGGAAGATAGCACGGTTTTCAATGTTTTGCTGGACATTGATATCCAACCGGACGAGTGGGGAACTAGCCCTTACAAGAATGGGCCACCCAAGAAATTTGTGGGCAAGAAAGACGATGAACCTGCGCTCAAAGGAGCCATGGATTACATTGAGCACGAGATCAAAGATGGATACCTGGAACCCCTAATAAAGGATGTGATCAAATCTCGATCTTTGGAGACCCAAGACTCCCAAGCCTCCGTCGTTGACCGAAAGTCGAGGTCCGAGGGTAAAGCAGATGACGCTAACGTCATGGTCATTTCCCTTCATTCATGTGGTAACCTCCTTCACCATGGTGTCAGATCGTTAGTTCTCAACCCATCTGTCAAAGCTATCGCAATGATCGGATGCTGCTATAACTTGGTGACTGAGAGGCTGGGCCCGGCCACATACAAGGTCCCCATCCTCCGGACTCAACATCCCCGCTTGACTCAAGATGCCTGTGCGTATGATCCTCATGGGTTCCCAATGTCGAAACGTCTGGAATCGTATAAACATGTCAGTGGGACTGGCGTGAAACTGAATATCACCGCACGTTCGATGTCTCTGCAAGCACCCTACAACTGGGGCAGAGAAGATAGCGAAGCGTTCTTCACGCGACACTTCTACCGAGCCCTTCTCCAGCGCATTTTTGTCGACCGTGGCGTGGTAGAGAAACCTGTTAACCCGACGGATCTCTATGGTTTGGAGACTGGCGGTCCTGATGCGGTAGGAAATCCTTTGATTGTCGGTTCGTTGCGAAAGGCCGCCTTTACGTCATTTTCTGCATACGTTCATGCTGCAATAGCAAAGCTCAGCAAGGACCCGCACAATGGAGAGAAGGTCAAGGCAGGGATGGCCGGCCTTACAGAGGAAGAAGTGAAGCGCTATGAAGCGGAATATTGGCCCCGAAAGAAGCATCTTAGCGTCACTTGGGCTCTGATGGCTTACAGTTCAGCACTCGTCGAAGCCCTCATCGTCGTGGACAGGTGGCTATTCCTGCGTGAGCATGACTCCGTCAAAGATTGTTGGGTTGAGCCAGTTTTCGAATACAGCGAGAGCCCTAGGAATCTCGCCGTGATCGGAATTAAGAAATGATTCCGTGACCTGTTCTTTTGCAGAAGTCATGATGCATACGCGCTTTGACGATTCGCCGCGAGGCACTGGGATGACAGCAACTCACGGTCATCCATCTAGCATGGCAGCGGTCGCATTGCCATCCATGACGCATATTCGGTGTTGTCATCGTAACCTGGACCAGGCACGAAGCATGGAAAAGTGACGAGCCCCTCAAAACAGCCGGATGCGCGTACAATACCGTGAGGATACATAGGATAGACTTTGCATTTGCTGGGAAACCCAACAGAGCGACAGCAGGCTAGGGGTCTCCTGTCTTTATTTTGTCATTTATATGGAAGGAGGAGAGAGTCACGATTGATGACTTTGTATAGACATAGAGTGCGATACAGTTCTTTTGAGACCATATACCAATGCATTAACGAGGAAAGGAGCAAACGGATGCTTCTTCTTCCCTTCCGATGGGTTATTACTCGAGATACTTGTGTCAATTGTCCCCACATTCAGAGTGACTGCGGTCGATGGAACGTGGCCTTTGAATAAGAGCTTTGGCTGATCGAACAATTCAGTTTATGGCCGGCCGAAGAGCAATCAAGTTGTGTATTTATGTCCTCGCATAAATTCGCTATCAACCTCAGTGATGATATGTTTGATATGTTTTCAGCAGTTGACATGGTAAATTCCGTCCAGAGTGATCGTTTTTAAGAATAATGGGCTCCGTTATAGAGTGGTTACTCCAAGAAGACAGGTACGTAGTAATCCAAGTGACGTCTTGACCGGGTGCCGGCTCTATCGGAGTCCGCGGGTTCCGACGCCACAGTCCTCCGAACACCCCAGGCAACACAATTCACATTTGACAATAACAAGACTATTTTATCTCATACAGTGCCGAGTGCCGACGAAGATACTAGTCTCTCTAGAAGTCGATATGGCTGACAAGCAACGAATGGAGGCCGAGGGAGCCGAAGGTGACAGTAAGGAGCTTCTCAACAAGCGCGCGGTGAGTGCAAGGCAGTATACAAGGGATTGGCATGTTGCTGACAAGCTGCAGTGTGACCAATGCCGTCTCAGAAAGGTATGCTGACAGTGGAATTGATGCCTGAGCACTTGGGGTCGCATTACATTGCTCTTTTTGAATTAACCATCCGTACTGTCGACAGGTACGCTGCGATAAGAGATCGCCATGCTCGAATTGTCGCAGTGCACGAATCGTCTGCCGCTCAACAGGTGCAGGGCAGAAACCCAAGGAGGATCGGAGGCGGGTTCTAATTTCCAGCCAATAGTAAGTAGGAAGCACTTGACCCTGTCAGTGCTCTAGTCTGACTTGCTACAGCGAGAAGAAGATCGATCTTATCGAAGAACGTCTAGGCAACATTGAAGAAGTCCTTCTTGAGTTGAGATCTAGCCTTGCTCGCAATCCCACTACTGCTGAACTCTGCTGCCACGCGACTCCTGTCTCGAAGCAAATGACTCCAGATACGTCTGGGTTTGCCCCCAATACCACAGCCGCGTTAGAACATGAGTCTGCCACTGGGTTTGAGGGCAACTCATCCCTCGCGGCTCATTCCGCCTACGCAAGTGCGTTTCTAGAAACCGTCGTTTCGCAAAGCACGCCTCAAGTCTCTACCCCGAAAATTAATGCAGCCCTCACGGCGCTCAGGCAGATTGTGAACATGCAGAGTCATCCACCTGGGTCTTCATTGAAAGACGCTCCGTTGCCGAATCAGAAAGGTGGTCGGGTCTCGAACTTGCGAGATCTGGTCATGCCCCCGGTTGAGGTGGTTCTGCCAATTTTGCGCCAGATAAAAGGTACTTGTCTGTAAGCTTTTCCTGATAAGAGTGGCCGAGGTTGACGCATAACTAGAAAATCTTCCTTTTGCCTTCGCATGCTACTTTCCTTTCCTCAGTGTCGATGACTTTATCCAGAAATGCCGCGAAGTGTATTTTGCAACAGAAGATTACTCTGACGCCACTTTCATGGTAGCCAATTGCGGTTTGTATCACATTTTTC